ATAAGAATAATATTCGACTCAGGTAGTGATGGTTTTAGGAGCCTGGAGTTTTACAGATCTCAAATTTTTCTTCTTCTTCTTTTTATTTTTTAAGGGATTTTTAAAAAAATATTTATTTATTTATTTATTTGACAGACAGATCACCAGTAGGCAGAGAGGCAGGCAGAGAGAGAGAGAGGAGGAAGCAGGCTCCCTGCTGAGCAGAGAGCCTGATGTGGGGCTCGATCCCAGGACCCTGAGATCATGACTGGGCCCCCGGGTGTATTTGGTTGTATTTGGTTGAATTTGGGGCTGCAAGGCTGCAATGACAGAATTAAATGTCATAATGTGTGCAGTCCCTTCTCACAGGAATTGGTGCATACGTGCTGTGGATATGGTCCTGTCACCGCCACCACCCTGGTGTGGGAGCAGCTATGGTAGTAATTTCAGTTGTTACTGTAGTTATCTTGAACAACATGGTAGGTCTTTGTTGAATGAGGTTTGACCTAGATATTCAACAAATGACATATTATGTCTAGGGTGAGAAATACATTCTTCTGGAGGTGCTAATGTCTGTTGGAGCAGAGCTGGGTGGTGGGAATCTTGATGTTGTGTCAATAGACACTCTCTAAGTATTATTTAGGCAGAGCCAGACCTTCTGCCCAGAAGACTCTCTACAAAGCATTTCATTAATTCCAAGAATTCTGATGGGCTCTCTATAGTCCAGACAGCATGGCAGGGAATTCGGACCAAGAATATCCGGAAACTTCTGTCCATTTCCTCCCTAGTAGTTGTGAAGATAAAGACGGTTGAGAGACCCAGTTTCTCTGAGAATTATCCACGTATCTACTCCAGGCAATCTGAGAAGGATAAGAATAATATTCGACTCAGGTAGTGATGGTTTTAGGAGCCTGGAGTTTTACAGATCTCAAATTTTTCTTCTTCTTCTTTTTATTTTTTAAGGGATTTTTAAAAAAATATTTATTTATTTATTTATTTGACAGACAGATCACCAGTAGGCAGAGAGGCAGGCAGAGAGAGAGAGAGGAGGAAGCAGGCTCCCTGCTGAGCAGAGAGCCTGATGTGGGGCTCGATCCCAGGACCCTGAGATCATGACCTGAGATCATGACCTGAGCCGAAGGCAGAGGCTTTAACCCACTGAGCCACCCAGGCGGCCCTCAGATTTTTCTTCTTCATGAAGAGGATCACTTTCTTCAGTGTCACTAGAAATTATTGCTAATCCCTTTTGAAGAAGGCATTGCCATTCCCGTGGTGGGAGGTAGAGGGGATCCCAGTCTTGAAGTCTGAGGTGGGGAGGGGTGCAGGGAGACTTAGTGAGGCTTTGGGTAGATATCTGAGCAGAATCTGCAACAGGAAGCAGACCTCCCACTGTCTGTGAGAACCTCCTGACGAGAGGCTGGGCTCCCTGGGGATGGCAGTCATGGTGGGGGCCCTAAGGGATCAAACACAATTCAATCTGAAGCTTTTTATTTTCCATTCTAATTGTATATGTGTGAGCTGGATGGAGGGGACCCTTGGGGCGTTGAGAACACTGACCCTTAGTAGAGCCACCCAAGGCAGCTTCCTTGGGCATCTTCCCAGCAGTAGAATATTGGCTGTTGGTGGTAGAAGACCAAGAACTGAGATCCAGACTGTGCTTCTGGCTTTTGGTTTTGATTTCCCTTCAAGGGATTTGCCCATTCTTTCTAGCCTGCTCTGCTAACGACTCCTTCCTGGTTCAGGAGGTGGTAATTCACCAGCCAGAGGAAGCATGCATTCATTCACTCAGTGATGGGAATATTACATAACTTTTTAAATGCTCTATTAAACAGGTAAAAAAGAAGGGAAATTTCCACCATTACAGATAAGAAAAAAAAAAGGAAGTGAAAACAGAGTGTTAACACGTATAAATTGATGTTACTGGTGCCCTGAGGAGAAAATACTACACTAGATGATTTTTATGAGCTCAGTATTTAGTTCATCTGGAACTCAGAAGCAAAACCCCATGTCTACAAATGGTAGAAGGTTGAAACCAAGACACATAAAATCTGGACCATCAGAAGACTTTCTTTTTTTTTAAATTTCAATTTAATTAGCCAACATGTAGTATGTCAGTCTCAGATGTAGAGTTCAATAATTCAGTGGTATACAGTGCCCAGTGCTCATCACAGCGCATGTCCTCTCTATTGCTCATCACTGAACTCACAACCCCTTCAGCAACCCTCAGTTTCTTTCTTTTTTTTTTTTTGCTAACATTTTTTTTTATTTTCAGCATAACAGTATTCATTGTTTTTGCACCACACCCAGTGCTCCATGCAATCCATGCCCTCTCTAATACCCACCACCTGGTTCCCCCAACCTCCCACCCACCGCTGCTTCAAACCCTGCAGATTGTTTTTCAGAGTCCATAGTCTCTCATGGTTCACCTCCCCTTCCAATTTCCCCCAACTCCCTTCTCCTCTCTAACTCCCCTTGTCCTCCATGCTATTTGTTATGCTCCACAAATAAGTGAAACCATATGATAATTGACTCTCTCTGCTTGACTTATTTCACTCAGCATCATCTCTTCCAGTCCCATCCAACAAAAGTTGGGTATGCATCCTTTCTGATGGAGGCATAATACTCCATAGTGTATATGGACCACATCTTCCTTATCCATTCGTCCATTGAAGGGCATCTTGGTTCTTTCCACAGTTTGGCGACCGTGGCGATTGCTGCTATAAACATTGGGGTACAGAAGACTTTCTTTTTAAGAAAAGAGTGGCCTGTTAGGGAAAAACATTCACCCACCAGCACAGAGATGACAAGTAACCTTGTCTTTCTATGAACTCTGGGGGAGATAGAGAGTTTCTCTTGAGATATCAGAACCCCAGGACTGTCCCTCTCCCATGGGTGGACCCCGGGAAGCCCCAGATAAGGAATTGTTGTAAAAAGTGGTCCAGGGCCAGTGACATCCCCAGGACTTAGAAGCAGCACATACAGAGTGGCTTTTGAAGGACACAGAAGCATAGGTCATGAAACTCACCATGGACAGGACTTGTCTCCATCAACAGTCACAAACCCCAGCAAATCGTGATGAACAAGATTCAAAATATGTAAGAAATGCAGGCTTAAACACCTAAAACTTCTGGCAGAAGAACTGCCTAAGAAATACAATAAATTAAATGTATTTGAAGTATTTTAAAGTTGTTAAAATAATAAAATGAAGTGTTACACCCATCACTGTAAAGTGCTATAAAAAACAAAAAGGGAAATTTGAAATGGAATCCTAATAATTTTTTGAGCATTTAATGTGTGCCACGTACACCTTGAAGCATTTTACTTTTTTCAGGTGTTCTAAGCCTTTTTAAAAATTTTATTTACATTCAATTAATTAGCATATAGTGTATCATTAGTTTCAGAGTTCAGTGATGCATCAGCTGATCTTGAAGCACTTTAAACAAATGATTTTATCTGATGAACAAGACCGCATGATATATTAGATACAATTGTTATCCCAGTTTTAAGCATGAAGAAATACACAGAAATTAACCAATTCGAACAAAACTGCAGATTTAGTAAATGGCAGAACACATGTGTAAATCCAGAAAAAAGTTCAAGCTTCTGGTCCCCTGGGGCTCCCACTTCATTCCTGGAGTCCTGCCTGAGATCCAAACACTTCACAGTGGCAGATAAAACATAAAATTTAAAAATCTACATTTGTCCTAAGAAAGAAAAAGGTAAACATTTCCATGGGCCAGAAACAGAAATGTAAGGGAGAAAGGCAGCTGAGGAGGCGAGAGCCAGTGAGGGTTGCAGAGGAAGAGCATCCCAGGACAAGGGAGAGTGGGTGAAAAGCTCCCGAAGCGGGATGACCCCAGGGCATGCAGGAAGAACACTGGGAGGATGTGGTTGGAGCCAATCCAGCGATGGGAAAAGTCGTCCTGCACAGGTGTTCAAATGGTGTTAGTGTGAAGCAGAAATATGAAACAGGAAGTTTTTATCTGAATGAGATAAGGTAGCACGGAATTCCAAGAAGAAAGAACAGACTACTTGATAAACAGCAGTCGATAATTTATATCGGTCTGAAAAAAATACTTCAATCTCTATCTCACATAAATTTTTTTATTCCAAAAAGTAAAGTCATAATATAAATATAAAATTCCAAAACAGGAGAAGTCAGATTCTTACCTCACATCAAACGTACATATGATATCCTGTGTGAATATACACCCAGATCGTGAAAGCATTGTAAGAACGTTCAAGAACATTTTTAGAACACAATCACATGGAGGGAATGGGAGGGAAGTTTCTGGAATGAGGGAGAAATTTTATAACCCAACAAGAGTTTGGGTTACTTGGGTGTGTGTATGTGTCGGACCGTGGAACTGAACACCTAAATTATGCACACCTCACTGGGTGTAAGTTATAAGTAGTTCCTCCAAAAGCTGTAAGAAGGAGGTGAATGAACACTGAGAAAATGCACAAAGGGCCAGCACAGGAAACGGGGAAGAACTACAAATGAACAGTCAATTTAAGGGAAAAATGCTCAGTTGCATGAGTCATTGTAACATTTTTAATTGAAATAACAATGACACTTTTTTCTCACAGACGGTGCTCTCATGTGGCGTTGGCAATGTGTTCCCTGGTGCAGGGGAGCCGTTCAAGAGTATTCAGCACAAACACAGAGTGTGTGTGACCTAAAATGCCCAAGTCCCTGCTTTACAAATTATTCCTTCAGATGGATTAGTGGGAACACAGAAATACGTTTGTGTGAGGACGTTTGTTTTAGTATTTTTTTAATAATAGAAAATTTTTGGAATCCACCTAACGTGCATCAGTGATTGAAAAGGATTCTGAGGGCTTATTTATGGTTTTTACTACAGCTTTATTCAAAATAAAAGACTCCTTAATAATGGTAAAAAAAGAAAAGATTAAAATATATTATGATAGTATTTGATTAACAATGCTAAGCTTTTTGTTTATTTATTTGTTAATACTTTATTTATTTGACCGAGAGAGACACAGCAAGAGAGGGAACACAAGCAAGGGGAGTGGGAGACGGAGAGTCAGGCTTCCCGCTGAGCAGGGAGACCCAGGCAGGGCTTGATCCCAGGCCCCTGGGATTACAACCCAAGCTGAAGGCAGATGCTTAACAACTGAGCCACCCAGGCACCCCATCAATGCTCAGTTATTAAACACAGGGGTACCACTTGTGGTGTTAGATATAGGGAAGGCTCCAACATTTTATATTATATGCTTCTAAATTGTTTTAATTTGTAAGAGTTGGTGTATAACTGTTTTAAAATGAAAACATGGACTCCAAATTGTATTGTCACATTTTTTTTGAAGTTCGTAAATAAAAGAGGAAAAATTATATTCATAAGCTTCTAGAGGTGCAGCAAATACAGAACTTTGTGTGTGGTGACACAAAGATTGTATGTCATGATAAATATGGGGGCGTCTAGATGAGTCTGTGCATACAAAACATGTCACCGAAATTGAATGTACCCATAGTCACTGTGGATAATGATATAGTGACTCCAAGTGCCCCGAGTCACATATTTCATGCAGAAACAGGAAGAGTCATGTATGTGCCAGGGTTATTCTGGAGTTCAACACAGAGGGCATCTGCACTTGGACAAGAGGATGGGCACTCACCTCTGCACAGCTGCCTGCAGAATCGTTAACCTCATGTTCACGCACTCCAAGTGAGCTTCACTGTCCCTCCACCCCAAGGTCACCCACCCTGTTTCCTCTTATAGAATGAAGTTAGAGCACAATTTGACCTGTGCCTAAAAGAACCAGTGGGAGTGAGGCCCCACCCCTGCGTTCATGTTGGGTCTTTTGGATGGTTTCTTCAGGGCTTTTAGCCTGATGCAGGAATAGACTCTGGAGGGTGAGGGGAAGCACCTAGATGAGAAGTCCTGGAAAGCTGACTACTCCAGGATCTCTGAAGAACATATCAGTTCTGAGGCTTGGGGTCATGGATGCTTTCCAAAGAGCAGAATCTTCCAGGACTTTACATGGCGTCTTCATAGTCCACATCTGCAGGGCCTGCCTTCTTCAGCTTAAAATAGATGGCTGAGGCATCCTAAAAGCAAAGGCACATGGATAGGACCAGAGCAGGGAAGACACGTGGTTCTCTTCCCCAACCACCCTGGATGTGTCCTATCACGGCACGCCACACAGCCCAGAAAGTAGAGCCTCTTGGAAGACTGACCATAGGTGAGCATTTTCAAAGGCCTGTGTCCCACAAGTGGGCTGTAGAGGTGTTTCTGATGAGCCATAAGTTCACCCAAACGTGCAAACTCCCATTCTAATGGGCCACCATTAGGCATCTCCCCAGGCTATCATTTTTTCTTAAGGATGTCAGAGTTTTGTACTCATAAACTACATTAAACTAAACACAAATTCTGTCCTGAGACCTCTGGCTACTCCCCACTTCCATACTAGACAAATGTACAAAGCACCTACTATCCTTGCACCCATGTAGAGCTGGAATTCCTGTAATTTTCTGAAAGTATCTTTGTATTACCAGTGATCTCCTGGATTGTTCAAGGTTTACAAATTACTGAGTTGACACAAATTACTATTAGTTTAGCTTTGTTCAATATTAATTTAGTTTTCCACAGATTGTGTGATTAACCTCACAGCACAAAGTGGTGTGTGTGTGGTTCAACAATATTTCAGGATAAAGATTTTAAAGGTATAGAATTTTTAGACTTGCCGTGTGCTACACTGTACCTACAGATCATCCATGTGTCGTTGCTAAAGGAAACATCTGTGCAAGGCTCCCACATTCCCTTGCATGGTGAGGCTTTATTGTTATGACCAAATGTTTTTCCCGCTGTGTGGGGACATAAGGGAAGAGATAGACCCTGAGAACCTTTTGTTTTTCCTAAGTGGCCATAGTTTTAAGAGTTTGAGAATGAGCCACTAGAAGAAAGAAAGAAGAGCAGGAAAGAAAGTCTGTAAGTCTTCTAACTCACCAGGTCTGCGGTATGTGTCCTTTGGGGATCTACTGTGGAACAAAAGATGTGTGCTGTAAGATTTCACTTCTATTTGAAGTCCTTCCCTAAAGTCATGCTAATAAGGGCTTCTTCTCCTCCTATCTACTTCCCATGTATTGATTTCTGTCAGCAATTTCATTCTTGCTTTTTTATCTCTTACAAACATGATTTCCTTGCTGTACGGAGGACAATGGGCAGCCTAGAGGTGGACGTGTAAGAAGTCCCTCCGGGCATTTACACTTTTCACATTTCTGGACCCTTGAGGTATGGATGGGACAAGAGCAGCAAGTGGGCCACACAAGGAGGGCAGGCAGACACCACCACCCCAATCTTCCTCTGACCAGGCTGTGCTGAGCTAGCACCAGAACTGGACTCTCCTGGGGCTGGCTCCCAGACCCAAGGCCAGTGCTCAGGAAGGTAGAGCAAAGCCCACAGCCAACTCCAAGGCAGAGCCGCAGTGCTGAAGAACACTTCCATATGCCATTTGCAGGCACTGATTGTCCACTTGGTTCCAGAAAAGACAAAAGTCAGAGACACATTCACTCCCTCACGTCTCACCTGCTGCTTGCTGCTCTTGCTGCCTGTGGTACACCAAAGAGTAGACCTCGTCCCCGCTTACGACATTCACTGAAGAGAAGAAAGGAGGCATAGTGACACAGTCCTTTCTTCCTACCACTTACCTCATTCCATGCCTACCATCTGTCACCATGAAGACAGATGTGCCGTCTGTTGTTGGGGGTGGCTGGGGCACAGCAGGCACTGGTGGGCTAGCAGACTCCACCCCTTCCCTGGCCCCCTCTAGCTGCTTGGGCCAGAACCTTTGGGAAACCTCACCATTCTCGTATACAAACTGTTCCTGCAGTGGGGCAGCTGAGTTGATGTAGTTGGACACCTGTGGCACGGGGCTGGGAGGGCTCCTGCAGACACAGAAACACAAGATAACTCTGTGGGAAAACATCCCAGATACCCCAGACATTACTGTCCAGGTTTGTGAGCGAGACATCGAAGGAGAGAAGCCTGTTAGCAAGGGTCCTGAGCAGAATACTGACATCTGGGAAGATCCGCAGTGAGCTCCGCTTTGTGTTACAAACTCTGTACCTGGGCTGAGCAAGGCATGGCAGAGCAGCCATGGAGTGCACAGCCCGAGGTGAGCGCAGGTCCTTACGTGATGGGTCAGTGCGGTGTCGCCCACACCTAGAACAGGGCCCCTCCCATCACAAGTGCTCAGTGAATACTAAGTGAGAATATTGATTCCCTCCCAATGGAGAACAGGTTTTTAGGCAGAACAAGCGGCTTGAGGAAGGGAGAGAAGAAAGTGAACTTGCATGTACAGGGCTCTGTACCCCTGGAAGACCGCTACTCTGATTTGGGAAAATAATCTGATTTTTGTTGGCATAAACAACAACATGGTACAAAAATATGTCAACTAAACTTTGATGTTTTAAAAATATTTTCCTCCTCTAAACTAAAGAACTTTGCCAGCAAGTTTTCGGGATGGTTATCACTCTCTGGCCTGAATGACGGAAATGTGCTTGTATCTTCATGCCTTTGAGATACTTTCAGGATCTCAGGATCCTGTTTTCCTGCCTCATCAGAATGACTCACAGATGCTCAGGTATTGGTTAATTGATGGGATAAATCAATTCACTGGTGAATGTGTGAAATGGGTCAGTTTAGTGAGGGAGGTGAATCAGGAAGAATGACGGAAAAAGGATTTGAATCAATTAGTCCGTGTACAAATGAGGAGCAGCAGCAAACAGACCCTGTTAGCGGTGGGAGAACTCCAGATAATAAAATACACAACAAGCACATGAGAGAGGACAACTTGGAGCGGGGAAGGTGGGCTTTCCTGCATCATCAGCACACGCAGAAGGAGCAGAGCCTCACCTGCCCTGGTCTGCAGCTGCTGGTCTTCCTACAAGTCAAGCAGATGAGCAAACACGTCAAAAGGGAATCAGATGGCCCTTCTGCGGGGGCTGCTCCCCAGGTCTGTCACCGCGTGCCGGAGGGCGTCGTCTGCTCGGATCCTTCACTCGCAGGTGAAGACACTCAGTGAAGAGCAGTCGGTGAGCTTCCAGACGGTTCATCCCACGGCAAGGACCTGAGCCTGAGCCTCTAAACCCGAACACCTATTGTCTTTTTTGCTTTGGGTTTTGACAACACACCACCTACTCTTGTCACGACAAGAGCCCTCAGAAGCACCACAGGCACAGCCACAGCCACATTACAGGTGAGGTGAGGGGCCCCAAGCGGCAGGACAAGTTTAGAATTTCAGTGAGAATCTCACATGGTCTCCATCTTGCTCAGGGGAGAACAGGAGTCCAGGATTAAACACCTGAATAATATGTAATTACCAGCTGCGAGCCGGGGCAAAGCTAAACAACTTAGGGGTCTGAGGAGAGAATAAAAGGAGAGAATTGTAGGCCGTGTGGCTGGCTGAAGCCTCTGGGGGAAAAAGACAGTCAGGCTGAGAAGTAGGAGAGATCCCGCCATGAGCAGACGAGCGGGTGCATAGGTGAGCGTTCCAGAACACGGGAAGAGCTCGTGATGGTGCTCTGGAGGGATGAGAACGGAGGCACTGAGTTTAACTGGGGGGTGGTTGGCAGAGCTGGAGTTGCTAACTGTGTTTCTCTTCTAGTAGCTGACCTGTTGTTTTTAATAGAGTCAGAGTTTTGGGTGAAAATTAGATCCCGGAAGCACCGGACATCAGTTGAGCCCCGACGGATCACACACGGGGGTCGGGGGACTTGACCACAGACACGGGTACCGCTCCCAGGCTGGGGGTTGGGAGCAGATCTGCAGGATGGGGGCTGGCAGGACGTATCCCTCCCCCACAGCGTTCCTGTCTGTCCCCAGTCCCGCCTATTTCTGTGAAAACAAAGTTCACAGTAACAAAATACCAGAATCTATAAATACTAACCCATTCTTTTCTTGAGCCAACAGCAGAGCGATAAGGCCATAACGGTGGGACCAAGGGTGCCAAGCAGCCCCTCCAGGACTCCTGAGGCGAGAAGTTCCTTTTTGTCCTCCACAGGCTCTGAGGGGAGAGGTCTTCCCATGAGCCAGCCTGCAGCAGGGCTGGCCTTTGGAGAGCAGACGTCTCGGGTGAGGGCTGAAGCCAAGGTCTGCTCTTCCTGGGCAAGGGGCTGAGGGTAGCAGGACTGACTTATGTGATTTGCAGCTCATCACCCTCATGGCAGGAAGGAGGCACAGCCTTCACGTCCTCTGTGTCCCTCAGACACACCTCCCGGGGCAGCATCACCCTTAGACGCATCACCCTTAGGTAACGCAGCACCAGAAATGCTGTGTAAAACTCTCCGGGATACCAGAGAGGGACATTGGCCAAGACAGTTCAATGGCCTGAGCCGTACCTGTGACGCTGAGGGTCACCGCCTCGCTGCGCTGGGCCCCCAGGCCGTTGTCGGCCTCACAGGAGTAGTTTCCAGAACGTTCTGCGGTCAGAGAGAGGTTGAAGGAGGCTTCTCCTCCAGAGGGGGCCGAGATGCTCCCCAGGATGACGTCCTCGTGGTAAAACCAGTACTGGATCGGGGGAGAGCCGCTCTGGGCCTCACAGCAAAGCTCCACCACGTCCCCAGGAAAGGCCTGGGCCCCGGGCACCCTGAGGGTGAAGACGGGATGGGACACTGGACCTGAGGGAGACAGGGGGCTATTGGAGAGGGTCTCCACACCGTGACAGACTCGTAATCCCTGCCCACAGAGGCTCAGCCCGGTCGGTCGTCCGCACGGTGCCCGGGGGAACGTGGAGCCCAGCGAGTGGGGGTGCTGGCGGGACAGAAGCTCCGGAACTTACTTCTGACAGCGACGCTCACCAGCTCGCTGATGCTGGGGCCGTAGCCGTTGTCGGCCGTGCAGTAGTATTTCTCTGCGTCGCTGTCGGTCACTGCCGGGATCTCGAACGTGGCAGTGAGTGAACGCTCGGTCTTTGTTTTCAGGATCAAACCCAGGGCCCCTTTGTACCAGGAGAAGGTGATGCCTCCTGTGCCCTGGGTGGCCAAGCAGATGAGAACCAACTTCTTTCCCTTCTGCACTTGTCCCCCTGGAGGCTGTGTCTCCAAGCTCACGTTCCAGACGGGGACTCCTACACAAACACAAGGAGACACCGGGGGTGTGACAGTCCCGAAAGCACAGGCCTTGGGTCAAGTCAATAGCTGATGTTGTTCCGTGGTGGTGGGTGGTATTCTGGCGGTGGGGGGGCTTGCTGCTGGCTGGGGGCGGCCTCGGTCAGGTGGACAGTGTGGGGGTGAGAAGGCCATACTGTTACATGGTGGCTGCAGCTCCCTCCCTTCCCGGGGCAGTGGGGCTCTCAGGGCCCGGGCCTCTCCAGCCCATGCTCTGCAGGGCACGGGACGGCGGCGGCCACAGGACAGACGGCCGTTCGAGCTGTCTGGCCTCAAATGCTGGCCCCACGTCTTACTGTGGGTGCTTGATCCAACCACTTCACTTCTCAGACTCAGTCTCCCGTCTGTACAATGCAGAGGGGGATACTAGCTATCTCCTACAGTTGGGACGGTCCCATGACCTAGCACACGTGGGGCCTGGAGCCGGGCCGGCTGCCCGGTGGTTCTTTGCTCCTGTCCAGCCTCACCAGTGTTGAGTTTTGAGCAAGGGTGGGGAAGCCAACCTTCTGGAGGTATTCCACATCCTCTTCCCAGCACCGTGGACGCATCGTTGTCTGAGAATGGGGGAGGACGTTAGCGTGTCCCCCGGAACACGGAATGACACGGGTCAGTCACAGAATGCCCCCTTCTCCTCCTTTCTTTCAAAACCAAGCCCCAGCTTCGCCTCCCATAGCCTCGGGCCCAAAGCGGGCCCTTACCGTGCGGGTCTGAGTTCTCCCTTCTCTGTAGCTCCCGTGACTCCCCACCACGGCCACACGTGTCCCCCCTGGGGAGTTTGCTGCCAGGGGTCGGGATTTTGCAGTGATTTGCTCCCACTCTCCAGCACAGGGAGGGTGCCGTGAGGGCCTCCTAAGTACTCTCCTGGGCACTTGAATGGGATTAGGGAGAATAGGAACAGATCCCTTAAGGACTCTGAGAAGGAGAGAAGCTCCAGCATGTCTCCACCAGCTCCTTCCCCCCAGGGGAGAGCAGCCTCGGGCCCCCGGCCCTGTGTAAGTTTCCCGTGCAGGCCCCAGGCTCACCTTGCACCTGTATCTGGATCCTGGGGCTCCAAGTGACTCTGATCGTCGAGATCTTTGCTTCACACCAGTAGGAGTCCGAGTCTTCCCTCCACACGGTCGGGAGGTGGAGCTCTGGGGAGCGGCTGCAGCCCTGCCCCAGGGCCTGACTGTCTCTGAAGAAGCAGAACTGGACTGGGACACCCAGCTTCTGAGAAGTGGCCTGCATCTCACAGGTCAGGGTCATCGAGTCCCCCTCCCTGGGCCGAGAGGGCCTGGCTGTCAGAAGCAGTGCTGGAGAGAGGGACGAAAGACAAATTCCAGGGCCATGGGCTTCAGAGTTCCTGTCAGAGGCACACTGAGCTCTCCGTGTTTGGAACAAGGCGAGTTGGGTGCAGAGACCGCCCCCCACTCCAGCATGACCTGACCCTGGGCCATGTCTCCGCCCCCCCAAGGCAACCTCTACCTCCCGCTTGGCTCCCACTCTTTGACATTTCCGTCCACAAACTAAAAACACCTTTTCTGGACACGGGGCAGGGCGCTGACCACTGTTACCGGAGATGGTGAAGCCTGACGTTTCAGGAAAAGTGAGTGTGTTTCATTCATTCTTGTCATAAACCATGTCGGTTATCTTCCGCTCACTCCCCCTGGCATCCCAGAACCACACACTGTCTTTCAAGGACAGAATGTGACATGGGACGTTCGGCCAGTGGGGGAAAGATTAGTGGGATTTAATGCCTTCTTTACTGAACCTCTCCTGCCTGTTACTGCTGCTCCCAGTGGAAGGAACAGGCGAATGCTTGCCTGGAAATGCCACCCGCACACGCGCAGCTCCCCTGCTCTGCGACTCTGTGCAAACCTCGTGCGAACCACGGCCATCAGGGGCAGTTTCATTCCATACCCTGAGCCCCAGGGATGTCTCCCTTTTCGGCCATAGGGGCTCTTCTATGGATGCACTACAGATGGGCAAAGCTGGGTCCCGCCTCCCCTCCTCTCCGTCTGCCTGGCGGCAGCGCCCAACAAGACATGGGATCCCAGAGGACACCAACTCTCGAAATATTTGTTTACCCAGCGTCAGAGGCTCTGCTCAGATAAAACTGCCGAGTGTTCTGGATCCTGAGAGGGGGCTGCTGCTGCCACACGTGTCAGCCTCAAGCCGTGTTACTAGGATGATTTACCCTGGGACTTTGTAAACTCTAGTCCAGTGTTAGTACCAGAAGGTTCGCTCCGGGGCCTGGAATTCCTGGCAGGGGTGGTATTCTCTCCTGGGAATCCTGCAATCCCCCAGAGGACTGAGGACAGAGAAAGGAATAAAAAAGGCATCCAGGAACCCATTCCCCACTCTTCTGAATGGGGCTGGTGGCATGGAGGGGACGCCAGACAGGGGAGTTTGCAAGGCCTGGAGCTTGGTCTTGTAGCTCCGAGCTGGTTTCAGAGAATTCTCAGACTCCCAGGCAAACCTGGCAAGTTCCTGGTAGTGGAAGCTTTGTTTCTTCTGGATGTGGATTTGGATCTGCGCTTGGGCTCAGACTGGGCACTCAAGGGGTAGAAGCAGGATCAGGCACAGATTGTGTCAGCATTAACCCACAGCCTGAGTTCCACTTGGACGAACTTTGGGAGAGCATCCCAGAGGCCTGGGCTGGTCCCCAGTATTTGGGCAGAGCCGTGCTCCCCGGCTGTGTGCATGGCCTGTGTTCTTGGGGGGACAGGCAGGAAGCTTCTTCGAGCCCTTCGGGTAGCTGTTCTGATGTATCCTGGGTTGAAATGCTCCTCAGCGGAAGATTCCTTCTGGGAGAAAGCTTCCTCCACTCTTTGTCTGGTAGAAGCAAGACCTCGAATGAGCGTCAGAGTGCTGGGTTTGTGCCAACCAGAGTGAGAGAGAAGTCGCATGGGTAACGGCTGTGGCTACAGAGCAGAGCTGGAAATGGGAGGGGGACAGAGAGCTACTTGGCTTTCCTGTGGTCCGGGGACCGACTGTCACATTCTCTATGGATGTGTGATGGCAACGTCTCCTCCATCGCTCCTGGGGGAGCACCTCATGGGGAAGACATGAGGGCCTTGCCACCCCCGAGTCTGGGAGGACGACGAGTCTTCTAACGTCTGTCTTCCACACTCTGTGACTTCCAGTGAAACAGCATCTCCCTTCCCAAGCTGCGACTTCTCACAGAAAGGGCTATGGTTTCAAGAAGACCTGCTCCCCTAGCTGAGCGGCCACATGTCAGGTGCAGAAACTGACCTGAACACAAGCAGCCTGGTCCTCTGGGAGCCGCTGCCATGGTAGGCCTCAGCAGCTGTCACCGGAGGGCAGACAGCACCCATGGGCCCGCTGCACGGATTGGGCCACGAAGAGGAAAAGGAGGTCCGACTCACCTTCACTGGCTGGTTCGCAGGGGGCAGCTAGGAGAGAATTCAGGAGAGGTCAGTGCAGGTACGAATTCCAAACAGGCAGCCCCTGCAACCTGACTGACCATCCCCAGTGCGGTTCTCCACGTGCCCTCCTGCAGCCGCCCCTCCCCTCCCCCGCCCCTCCTCCTCCCCCTCTCCCTCCTCCCTTTCCCCTCCCTCTCTCCCTCCCCACTCCCTCCTCCTCCACGTCCTCCCTCTCCCCTCTCTCCTGCCCTCTATTCTCCTCCCTTCATCCTTCTTTACCTCTTTTCCCTCTCCTACATTCCCCAACACCACACAATTCCTTTTGTGATCAGGAACTCCTTCCCGATCACTGCTCCTATCCATGGTTAGGGTGGTGCCTTCGTTCTGTGGCCCCTTCAAGCCCTGGACTCTCATCCCTCCTCTCAAATGTCCAGGTGGCCCCAGCCCGGGCTGGCCCACCACAGTCACAGCAGCCAGGCTCCTGCTCTTGACGTCCTTTATTCACCAACGTCCTGGTGGAGGAGGTCCACAGAAAGAATTCGGATTTCTCCCAAGATTCTCCCACACCTCAAGGGTCTGACTGTGGTATGGCAGCATAATGCTCAAGAACAGAACATTCTGGGGAGATGCAGGCTCTGCAGCCAGAAGACAGAGCCCTGAAGCCTGCCTCTTCCCCTTACAAGCTGTGCTACCCCAGGGACAACGCTTCACCTCTCTGTGCTCCGCTTTCCTTTTCTGTGAAATGCAGGTAATCATAGACCTCCCTCAGTTTCTGCAGGGATTAAATAAGTTCACGCCCATAAAATGCTTAGAAGGGTGCTTGGGGTTTATTTACCATCCAGCAAACATTACTCATCATTAGTACCTATTTGAGCCCGTGTTTAGTCTGACTTGTGTAGCCTGCCGTTGGAGCTGGAAAGCTGGTGTGACTAATGTGTGCCTCAGGTAGGAGAATGGAATCGATGGGGCTAGCATGAAAATCACATTTTTTATCCGTCCGTTCTACAAATGGTTCCAAGCTCTTACGGCGGCGTGCCCGGGCCCGTGCACGGACTGGCGTTGCAGGAGCGAGAGCAAGCAGCAGGCTCTGCTGTCCAGGAATTTCGGGAGAGACAGACAATCGAAAAATCACCAAAGAGCCTGACCTGAGAGAGTGATCAGTGTTACCGGAGGGATGAGGCCGAGACACAAGTCCGAGGGTCTTAGGACGGTCTGGACCCTTTGGACAGCTGTGAACCGAGTAGAAAACAGAATGAAAGTGGACAGCTGCCTTCGGGGTGCTTGGGGATGAGCACCCCCAACACAGAACTAGCCGATGCAAAGGACGTGAGAAGGAATGAGCTTGTGGTGGGGTGGGGAAGAGAAGGTGGCGCCCTTGGAGCTGACAGAGGGGCAGTGGTGGGCACTGGTGTGGTAGAAATGGTCAGTCAGTCACGGAGGGCTCCCTGGACTTGGCACCAGGTCTGGATTTCATTCCAGGTATGATGGGGAGCTGTGGACAGTTCTGACTCCAATTACGTTTGTAAAATCACTCTTATCCTGGGAGAAGGGCAGACCACCATCATGCAGGAGAAGCAGAGAGGACACTAGTGACAGTTTAGTCTGGAAGATTTAGTCTGGAAGAGCTCGGGCTAGGCAGGGCCACCGTGAAGGGCCAGAGTCCAGTATAAATTTGAAAGTAGAATCAAGACTTCCTTACGGATTGGAGGTCAAGTGTAGAGGAGAGAGAGGAATGAGTGTAAGTCCTAGATTCTTGGTCGCAGCCGCTGGAAGAGTGGAGGTGACATTTGTGAGCATGGCACGGTCACCCGGAGAAGCTGGGTAAGTTGGGGGAACTCATGGGAGATCAGGACACATGTTTGGCCGCATGGAGTATAGCAGCTGAGTGTCTGCGGAACGCATGCACGATGCTCAGAGGAGAGACCAGAGCTGGGGACGTAAGCTTGAGTTGAAGGTCAAGGCAGCGCAGGAAGTGTCTGAACCGGGCAGGGACGTGCACATGGATGGAGTGTGAGGTCTGGCACCAGCCTTGGACAACTCCAGCCTCTGGTGGTCAGGAAGCAACAGGTGTTGAGTTAGAAAGAAACCCAGTAGCCTGTAGTGTTCCAGAAGCTGAGGGAAGAAGTGCTTCCAGAAGACGGAGTGAAGGACCACTTGGGAGAGTCCAAGTTAAAGGAAGCTGAAAACAGAGCCTTGGCTAGGATGACAGGGAAGGGGTTGGTGGTCCCAGCAGGGGCAGGGGTGGGGACGAAAGGTGGACAGCCATGGCCAAGGGTGAGAAGGACCTGTTAGCACTGAGAACCAACCAACGGTTGCCAGGGCTTGAAAGGATGGAGGCCAGGAGGGAGTGTTTGAGGAGATGGAAATGTTCTGCATCGTGATGGTGTGGGAGCTCACATGACTGCAAATCCTTCTGGAAAATCAGAGCTGCTGTATCTTAAAAGTGAAAGTTAATGTGATGGAAGTTAAAAATGAGTTTAAAACAGGAAGGGTGGGAGGCAATAAGGCAAGCCCAGCAGCTCTCTGGAAATTTTGTGAAAGGGAGCAGAACACGGTCACGGCACATTTCCATCGTCTTAGGGGAAAAGACACGGTGGCGTGATTGTGTATTTACCAGACTAACCCAGGATGAAGAAATGTGGTGATGGCACAGGGAAGGTTCTGAGAAAGCGAGAGCATTAGGGAACCCAGTGCATACGGGAGGAGTCCCGTCCTGCATGGGAGGAGGGACGGTGCTGTCCTGACTGGGGACAAGTGGCGGGGGTTGGCAGGTTCACAAATACGGCCGCAGAAAGGTGAGGACATTGTCTTCTGATGGCTTTCACTTCCTCAGTGACATGCAGCAGGATTACAAACCGAGAGTAAGAAGGAGTTTGAGGAGACAGAGAAGGTGGGAGATAGTGGTCTGAGGGCCCGAGTGGGAGGCACCGAGTGGGAAGGTGTGGGAGGGTCTCTGGCCCTACAGGGGCCACCATAGATGTGTGCCCTGCATTTAAAGGATGTGAGTCAACAGGATGGTGCCTTTTGTGTGAAGTCACACGTAGCTGCTTGGGCACTGGTGTGAAGCACACGGAGAAGCTGACGGAGGGTGTAGACAGGGGAGTGCTGGGCCAGCCCCAGCATCTGAGCTGAGAGGTGGGGGACGCGGAGGACAGACACAGGCAGTGGAAAACTCCAATCCTTGGGGTTGAGAAGGAAAGTTGCAAATGCCCTGTGGTCATAGGGTGGGGTAGGGGTGGGGTGCCAGAAACAGGGATTTGAAAGCAAGCGTTGTTGGTGATGATCCATTCTAGGTAGGGATGAGGGTCCAAGGACAGAAGACAAAGGAAAGGATGATGACCGTGAGGACAAGGAACAAAGAGCCCAGTTTGTTGTGTGAACCACCCCTGCAGCTACCCACAACATTGAGAACAGAGACAGAGTTTACATCGGAAGGAAGAACAGACACTCAACACTTCCTATGAGATAAAAAGTGAGTTGATAGTTTTCTTCAAACCCTGGCTTTCTAGTCTTTCCCACCTGCTGCCTGACTCCGAGCCACAGGTTGGAGGCTGAGGTCCTGGCCTCTGTGGGTGCAGCCGGAGACCTTGGGAGGTCCGGCCTGGACGTCCTACTCACCGCACATCAGCAGCACAAGTCCCAGCAGCATGAGGACCGGGTTGGGGACTGTCCCTGGAGATGCTTTCTCCGTGAAGGAGGAATCCAGTTTGACAGAGGGTTGAGGAAGTCGGGATGGGAAGTAGAAGAGTGAGAGCCCTCCCAGGGCCCCCCTCTGTCTGCTCTCCGCAGGGGCCTGAGACAGCAAAGGACACTCCTTCTTGTGGCTTTGTCCTATGTCCACAGCTCGACGAGAGCGCACGTTAGCACATCAGGGCCTCCTCAAGAGCTCAGGGCTGTCTCCAAGGACGGTTCCCAAAGGCGATTTCTGACGTGGATGAGCGCTCCCGGACTGCAGTCCTGCTGAGGGCGGTGGGTGCTTTCCCCGTGGAGAGGTCCGTCCCCCCCACCGTGCCCGCTCCGCACGTGCTCCGGCTTCTCCACAGCTGCACGCTGTCTCTCTGGGCACGAATGGCCAAGCCGGGGCCTGATGGCTCTCACCGGGGTTACGGGCAGGACCTGACGGACTGTGATGGGCTCAGGGTCAAGCTGTTTGTAAGGTACTGGCTCCCACCCATATTTAGACTTTCATGGCGTAGCAGTCAGTGAAGCAGAAACAGATGAAAAACAGAATCACAGGAAATTATGGCCTGGGGGGATGTTTGTAAGTGAAATACAGGATATAAGCTTATGCAAATTAGCTTCTGGGCGTTGGGGACAGTTTGCCTTGATCACCTGGCATGTGTGATGGTGGTCCTCCCCTCCCCCACAGAAGACATGAGTGTCTTCTACTCCATCCCCCCCTGGAGCACACTGGGGCTCCTGGTGCTTGGCATGGGGAGCCTGGGTGTGATTCAGACCGTGCTCAGAAAGAATAAACCGTCTCAGGTTCCAGCACCTCCTGAGTCTTTGAGGATCTACGATTAAGAACCAGATGACGTGCAGAAGCAAAGCATGTGAGCAAAAACAGGGGACACAGCAAGACGCCATTCGGTAGTGACGCTCAAGTGCGGGTGTGGAGCTCCAGAGAAGGCATGAGAAGAGACGCACGGGGCCACAGCTGAGCCAGCTGCAGGAGGAGGGAGCAGTGCCGGAAACTGACTGGAAGCCCCAGGGAGTTCCCAAAGACGAGGCAGTGTGCCCCGCTAGTGGGCTCAGGAAGGTCTGCCCGGGTGGGTTTGCCCTGTTTAAACTTCAGGACTGGGGCTTCTGGTGGGTACACCCTGCATTCCCCTCTCCGTCTGTGCTCATGTGCTCCCCTGCACGGCTCTTTCGGGTTAAGGCCTCTCCCCTCCTGCTGCTCTGGTTTAAAGGCTGCACAGTATTCGATAAGCTCCCTCACGTTTTTACCTCTGTTCACTCCTGATGTGCGCACACACTGAGAAGGCTGGCGTGTGTGGAAACTGTGAGACAGTCTGATGCCACGCAAGCCCGTGAACCCACGCCCGGAGATGCCGGTGGGGCCCGTGGGGGTGAGGTCTGACGCGGAAGGGGTCACCGGGGTTCCAAAATCAGGACAAGCCTTTTCGCAGGAGGATCTGGTGCTTCTGTTGGGAAATCTGTACCTCGGGTCCACGCAGCCGTGAGGAGGACACAGAGGTGCCAGAGCTCGCGGCCGAGGGGGCATCTGCAGGGCTCACCAGCTGTATCGAGCGAGCAGGGCCTCACTTTCTGTAGGGGAGGCTGGTGTGGTTAAGTTTGGGTCAGCTTGGCCAGGCTACGGTGCCCAGCTACGGGCGTGAAAGAAGGACTCTTCATCCCACGCATTACGGGTGCAGCCAGCGGGGCCCGCAGAGAAGAAACCTGCTTCTGGTCACTTACAGATCGGGTTACTGCTTCCGGCTCTCAGCTCCCTTCCTGTAAGGGGGTCGGAAATGTTCTCTCGTGACCAAGCCACTCACGCTAGTATCTTTTGTGTGGGGAGGGGAGGTGCCTGAGTCACGGGCTCTGGCTCGGCTCCACGACGGGCTTCGGGCAGCGAGGTGGGCGTACGAGGTGCTGCCGCCCGCCGTCAGACGCTCACGGCACTGGCATGGGTCGGCTGGGCTGCCCGTTCGATGTACTTTCCAAAGTGAGAAGACAGAGGGGACTCGAACCCTGCCCATGGGTCGGCTGGGCTGCCCGTTCGATGTACTTTCCAAAGTGAGAAGACAGAGGGGACTCGAACCCTGCCCATGGGTCGGCTGGGCTGCCTGTTCGATCTACTTTCCAAAGTGAGAAGACAGAGGGGACTCGAACCCTGCCCACAGCCTAGAGCCCAGCCCGGCTGCACCCCCAGGACCTCAACTGACCTGCAGCCCTCGGTCAGCCTGGGCAAGAGGTGAACGTTTGCTGGGAGCCGGGAGGCATTGGTGTAGTAAGAACCACGGGAAAAGAGCACATTTCCGCAGATTTGTGGCTGGGCGGCCACACGCATTATCACTTTGATCCCATCTTCACGTTAACATTACGTGCGCTTACAGGGCCCCTGCCATGGCCGGTTAGAGGTACACATCCAGTGCTGCTCCTGTTCCCATAGCGGAAGAGATTTTCTTCTCCGTGTCTCAGGAAGAAAATTATCAAGGGGAAAAGACTTCTTTGATAAATTTAGGAGAAGCAATGGAGCGAGAGTGGCTTGATGCCACCTGGGTTTTCTCCTTGAGAAGACAGGCCTCACCATGCTGTCATCGCTCACCCTCCAATACCAGGGTCCGTCCCTGCCGTACAGGCCCAGGGCTGTCCAGTCGCCCTGGCCGGATGGTAAAACTGCCTTGTGTAATGCTGACTTATGAGAACCCACGGAGGTCACACAGCTAAGCCACTTCTTCCAAAGTAATTTTTACTGGTACAAAATCTGAAGTTTGCCTCCTTCTGCATGACACCCATTACCTTCCCCTCGTCCTGTGCTTGGGCGAGAAAGAGAAGGGTGTTACCTGTTCCCGGAAGATGGCAGCGTCTGCCCCGCACCGTATGCCCTGCACCGTATTACAGTCTGAGGATCTGGAGGTGAGAAGTACATATTCCCTGAGTGCTGAGAATTCACAGTGCGGCAGGCGAGAAAGATGTAGGAGCAAACCGAACACTGGGAAGTGCGAAAATCGCGATGACTGAGCCAGTCCTGGTCGAGGGGCAAGAGCGGGTGTCGGGAAAGGGGAGGGTCTGCAGAGGGTGTGATTTCTGGGGATGACTGGGATCTCCGCCAGCCGTGCAGGCGGGGAAGGAAGCCCTGTGCAGAGCCAAGAGGGTGTGCGGCTTGAAGTCATGAAACAGCAAGGTGTTTTGCTGGGGTAGTTGGAGCTTGATTTTTGGAACAAAATGGGAAGTACCGACAGCAGGAGGCCAAAGAGATGGAGGGAGGAGAAGAAGCCACAGCAGGTCTGTGCGCTGCACTAAGAACATGGGCTCTTCAGGGAGGGGCAGGGGCTAGTGGGACCAGGGGCTGGAGAAGGAACCTCCCATTGGCGGCAGCGTTCCGCCATTGCAGTGAGGTTCGAAGGACACGCTGTTTGACCATCTGATTGTTCCCCGAAGCCAGAATTTTGGGATTTTATGTAAAACCTACTAACTTCTACATGCTGGAGAGCAAAATTTTAAAATTGTTTTAAAACAAAGCATTTCTGTACAGCAGCACAGCTTTGCGACCTCCGCCCTGGCTGGCACATGGGACGGTAAGGGAAGACACAACTAACCCCACAGAAGATGAAAAATCCAGGGATATACTGAGCCTGTGCATTTTGAGGTGGAAAGTTTACTCATTTTACAAATTAGGAATCTGCAACTCAGAGATGTTGGGCAATTTTCAAAGCTTTACCGGTGGTGAGAACTAGGGCTGGTGTGACCCCCTGACCTCACCTTACCCTTGATTGTGTCCGCTGGCCAAGACAGCAGCCCCTGACCACACGTGGCTCTTGAGCACTTGAAGCCGAGCTAGTCTAAGCTGAGAGGCCCTGTGAGCACGGTTCACACGCTACGTTTTAAAAACTTGAGAAAAAAACCAAAAGAACTTGAAGTGTCTCATTAATAATTTTACATCAACTATATGTTAAATGATAACACTTTATATGTAATAGGTTTAAAAATGTTAAAATTAAAGTATTAATTCCACCTGTTTCCTTTTCTTTTTACTCTTTTCCAGTATGGCTACTAGCAAATTCTACATTCTGTGTGCGGCCCATCTTACGTGTCTGCTGGATGGAGCGGTGCAGCCCTGGTGCCCAGCAGGAGGAGGCTTTCTCACTCAGCCCACAGCCAGAAGGCAGGCAACACTGGCCTGGGCCATTGCCTGTGTCAAGCTCCCACAAGATGTGATGCCCCATGTCAGAGTCGAAGAAAAACACTGAGAGGGAAAGTCTGAGTTCGGGGAAGAGCAGAAATGGCAGCATCTCCACAGAACGTGCTGGGTCTGGGGTCCCGTATCAGGAGCAGATCAGAGATGAGGACATTCTTGCAATTTTCAGAGCGTTGCCATGAATTCAGATCACACTGTGGGCCCGTCCTCTAGAAAACTCATGGTCTAGGTCGTCTTCCCCCAGAGCAGGCTACTGGCTGGTCCTGCTGAACAAGTGGTGGGGAAACGCCCAGCGGAGTGAGTCGGAATCAGACCGCCGGGACCTTAGGAGTTTGCTCTTCTGGGGAAGAGAGTGTTGCTCTGTGGGCAACAACATCCCACTTTCCATACATTTCCGTCTTGCCAAATACGGTTCTCAAGTATTAACCATCCCTCAGTGCTAAAATGGACACAGAATTTTATCATCCAAACCAGGACACTTTTGGGAGAGGAAATGTCTACTAAAAATTGTTAACAGATTAGCTGGCCCTCAGCAGACATCAACCCTCCTGTCCTAAGAAAACAGGGACCAACGCTTTTTATGACGTCACCAGAAAGCCTTCCTCTACACTCGTGCTTTCAGGCTTTCCCTCTCTCCTCAGATAACCAAGGATCACCCCCAGTGTTCCCCTCCTGCTTTCTGACGTGACAGTGCTCCCCTCCTGTGTCTCTGGGATAACCACCGTGGATAAGTCTTGTCACTGCTACTGATGAAATGCATCAGGTCAAAATTCCTGTGGAATTTCTCACAGAGAGGGAGTCCAACAGAAGGGTCACTCAGAGACCGATGTTTGCCTCTCTCTTCTCAG